TATAATGTGTATTAATTTTAATTTCTATTTTTTTTCTTTTAGTTGCTACACCTACGACAAACTCATCACTCCATGGGTTGACTGCTAAAGAATGACTTTAGGCATTATGTCCGCCCTGTGTATCCTTTTTTTTTTCTAAAGGGTTGCAATAAAGTTTTTAAATAAATAAATAAGAAACAACACACCCTGAAGAATAATTGTTTAACATGTTCTTTATACCTAGGTACTTATTAGTTTAGGTTTAAATACATTACAATACTATGTACAATTTAATTGATCACATTCACACCTATACGGTAAAATATATTAAAAAATATCTCTTTACCTCCAAGTGATTAGGTATAATTAATGTTGGAGCTGTGGTTGTGGGTTGTGGCTCTACCAATATTGGTTTGCATAGGCCACGACTGTCGCCGTTGCCCTTCAATACCAAGACCGTAGCCGCAGCATACAGACAGACGTATATTTGTACTTAATATTTATATCAAATTTCTATCAGTAACTCATGGTTTTATTTACAACACTAGCTCACTTAACGCAAGAGCTGTTATTTATTAAGATAATGCTCCAATAATTATGGGAAATATACACTGTATACCATTTATTACTGATGTATAGTGTGCCTCATTTTTCATTGTTTGTGTACTGTTCGTCGTAGGAAAGGAAATGTATTTGATTCGAACATCATTAGTGAAACACATAAACAATCAATAGATTGTGAACAGTCAATATTCAGAATCTATTGATTTATGATGTGTTTTATATATTTTACATGTATCCTATAGTAAATTAGCTTTGAAACAATGTTTTGAAATGAATGTTTAGCTATCGTTAAACTTTATCGCCTTGTGGCGGCGTAGTAGATCACGATATTGCCTCCGACATGCGGCGGTATAATATTATAATTGTCACGTATAAATTACTACCTGATGTAAAATAACCTAGTTAGACCTGAAACGAGATGCAGAAAAGTTTAGACTTTGCTTCTACTTAATCGATCTCTGAAACCACTTAAAGAATTTTCATTACATTTTCTCTTAATATTTAGCTTTGAAAACACAGTTCAGTTAGTGTGGTAAAAGTGACTCGAAAATTCGTATAAAATACTTCATGATTTGAATTTTCTAAAACAAAAACGACTTAAATCCGCTGTGTCAATCGCTGAATTAAGTTCTCGGACTCAGCATGGGCTTAAGAAACAGGCATTTGAACAACAGCTTGCCGAGCTCAGAAATTTGTAACAAGTCAATCAAAACAAATAAACAAAATGTTAAGTCTAATTGAGAATCTCCATGCGGTCAACTGCTCAAAGCTAAGTCAATACATGAGAACGCGTCAAACCTCAAAAACACTGCTGTTATGAGTTTAATTGTTAAGTTTACATAATTGTTACTGTTGTGCGCCACAATTAATGCCTGGTAAATGGCACCACTCGTTACCACTAGCGCCTTTTAGTATCTAATAGCAGAACTAGAAGAGTCAAGATACTTCTAGAAATTTCCATGAAAAAACTTTCTAGAACTATCGACACCTAGTCAGTCGGGACCAGTATGTACCGAACTTTCTAGATGTCACAGTAGAAGGTTGTAAGTAAGTCGTAAGTCACTTCCTTACCGAGAGCTTCCAGAACAGTTAAGGCCTGGTCGCGCAGGCCTAGGGTGAGAGCAGTTATGGTCTGACTTTTATTCCAGCCGTTCGCTTTCATAACAGCCTCGAACTGAATTTTGTAGGCCGACCAGAAAGAAGTCCTGTCGAACGGTTGCACTTTGAATCCACGTAGCGAAGGTGTTGTAGCTACCACGGGAGCTGTAATTCCATCCCCAAGTTTAAGGTCGTTCAGGCTTTTCTTCAACGCGATTGCTCACTTGGTCGATTCGGGTTTCAACTTCCGACAGGCGGTTGTCATGTTGAGCAACCCTATCCTTCACCTCCCTTATCTCTTTCCCGAAGGTAGCGTGAAGGTCCTTCATGAGGAGCATCTGCTCTTCGTTATCGCGTTTGAGCTGCTCTTCCAAACGACGGGCTTATTCCTCCTGTCCCCGCTACAGCTGCTCTTCCAACCGACGGGCCTGTTCTTCCTGTCCCCGCTACAGCTGCTCTTCCTTCCAACCGACGGGCCTGTTCCTCCTGTCCACGCTGCAGCTGCTCTTCCTTCCAACCGACGGGCCTGTTCCTCCTGTCCGCGCTGCAGCTGCTATTCCAAGCGACGGGCCTGTTGTTCCTGTCGGCGGGCCTGTTCCTCCTGTCGGCGAGCCTGCTCCTGCAGCATCGTCATCAGAACACCTAGCTCAGGTGCTACAGATGCAGGAGCTGCTGACGGGCCGGCCTCCGTGGTCGGCAGCTTGCCCTCCGACGTTTGCGGCGTTGTATTACCAAATCGTCTCTGGTCCGTCTCCAGCTGGCGTTGACTTCGGGTACGGATACCCTTCATGTCGTCTATTGGTAAAATCGGCATGATTTGATCCCATTTCTGACACCAATTGTTACGAGCTTGGGGTTCGAGACAATTAAAAACTGCGTGAATTACCAAAACTGACACTTTAATTACAGAACATTAATTACAACTTAAAACCACACTAATAACAAAGCACAATTGTAATACAGATCACTTTAATTCGCAATTGTATCGCTTCGAAATATTCGCTTATATCGCCAATTCAATACTGCCTCGGTCGTGGTCTATACCGGCCTTATATAGGGCCTCAGATAGTTTCCAGAACCTTCTACTGTAGAAACATCTAGAATGTTCGAGTACATATCGGTTCCGATTGACTAGGTGTCGATAGTTCCAGAAAGTTCTTCCATGGAAATTTCTAAAAGGTTCTTGACTCTCCTAGTTCTGCTACTCGATACTAGAAGGTGCTAGTGGTATAAATTTTGGCGCGCAACCATATTTTAGAGTGGCTTGCCATAAAAGTGACACAAGCTTTGTAATCAATGCAAAGTGCTGTCCAACAATTTTAAAACATGTAGTGGTGCAATAGGTGAGGGATATAACCACCACTCCATGTATGATCGTCACATTTATTAACGTGAAATCAGCCTTTGAGCGGTCGGAAAGGGTTATGCCTAGGATATACCTAAGAGTATGAATGCACGCGGCGGTTGACTTGAAAATGGTGAATTGTCGATTTTCTGAGCGCATTTGGCGGTTATAGTTACTGAACGCCCATGCCCATATGTCTTACACATCACATAAATGTCAAAAAAGCTAAAGGCCCACATCAGCATGGTTATGCCTCAGATTGTAGCCGGAAATCAACGGCAACAAGCGCCTGGAGGCGGTCGGACATAGATTACTAAGGCTGTAACGGTCAATTCAACCAGGTACCACTCGACAACCTTACCAATATAAATTATTAAGGATAACTCAAAAGCTATTAGTCAGACCTTAATTAAATTTATATGGGACCACATGAGAACCACCAGCTTTCAAATTGAAACAAGAATCGTCAAAATCAGATAACGTAGAAAAAAAGTTATGAGGTAACACACATAAAAAACACATGCAGTCAAATTGAATACATCTTCATTTTTGAAGTCGGTTAAAAAGGCTTAGACGTCTGAAAGACTCAGAATGCACATCGGGGCGGAGCTCTGACTCACGAATGGTGGTGTGTCGGTTTCAAAACGTTAAACCTAAAATCGCTAAAGCAACATACTCACCTAGAGGTAAATCACATAATGTACCTGATTCTGTATCAATGTACAAGTGAATATGTTTTGTCCACAACTCACCGCTTTTGCCCGGCATGCTCACTGCCTGGCAGGTATCTTCCCATATTTCTGCCTTTTCTATATTGTAGCTTCGATTAGGTCGCCATCCCGCAACACGGTTGAATTTTAATAAAATTCAATTATATTTAAACTTTTTTTTCATCCACTCCGTTGTTTGTTTGTTCGAAGTTCCCGTCGACGTATCTACTATTCATTCGTTTATATTACGTGCCTATAAGTGATTATCTCGCTAGAGACTAAGTAATTGTCAATTTTGACAATACTCGCCAACCCATCTACTCCAGGGTGATGAGTGAGTGCAAATATTTCATGATGTGCGTCACTTGATGCATTCTTGAGGTGACTTTTATCTAGCAGTGAATTCATTAAGCTGATAAAATAAAGTAGGGTAGGTAAAATAATAAAGATTAAGCTAATAAGTTTATTGATGTTCAATTTGAGACTGTGGGGTTTAAATTATTAAATGAAACCAAAGTTGACAATCACTTATTTTATTTTGAAAGTTTTGAAAATACGTGTTCGTATAAAAATGTAAAATTTAATAACAAAAACCTTGTTCTCAAAGATTCAGGAATGTGCGCATCAGACATGTAATTTTAAACAAACAATAAAAGCAAGAAATAAATTAACTAAACTTAACGTCACTTAACATTTACGTTTTAAATTAAATGGATCAGAGAGATAAAAGTTAATCATTAAAAGTTAATAAATTATAAAAGACCAACAAACAATTTGAACTTTATGTGTGTAATAACTATGAATAAATATATTTTTATTGGAGACTATTAAATAATAGACTATTATTATAGAAAGTAATGGCTGAAACATTCTTAAAAAACAAATTATGTGAATTCGTTTTATTTGTTATCAAAAATAATAATTCTTTTAAATTCAATCAAAATCAAAATTATGAATATTATTAATAATATTTAAATGATGTTTAAATACGTGAGTTATAACATGTGCTTATTCGAGGAATTTTATACTATATGTGATTTTGATTAATAATACATAGAGGAGATATGTAATATTAGATCCTTGTGTCCTACAGTTCGACGAATATTACATTAATATTAATATATAAAATATATAAAGTTATGTTAATATATATAAAATATTACAAAATATATAAGTTTAATGAGGTCATCAGTGCGTTGTTTATATAATAGATTAGTAAAATATTTTAATTAAATGTATATATTATGTGTTAATATCGCTTATATCATAGCCATCAACTGTAATAATATTGAAATCAACCCAATCTAGCCACCACGTTGAGTTAGCACGGCATCAACGAGTAAGACGGCTCCATTAATGATAGCCAATGAAGCTTTGGCTAGATTTTTGTCCTTGAGCTCACTTTTGCCATAGTGTTGCCATCTGGAAAAATAAAAACGTTTCATTATATTATTCACGAATACGTATGTCCATGTGTACATTGTACATTATTCTTCACTTCACTGTTAGACATGCATAAACACTATCTGACTCAGAGAAAGTTTGGTGTAGTCGTAACGTGTATCATGTAAAATATGAGAGAAAGGGAGAACTTTCACCCTTTTATCGCACTTTTTCTCCAAATATTAACGGTATGGAGTACAATGCGGTGCACTTTGTTGTTTGACGGAAGATACTTTAAATTTAAACGAACGACCGATGACGCTCATCTGTGGGGGCGCTGTCAACGCGCCTCAATAGCGTAAATAATCTGAACAAAACGGAAGCCTAAATCTATAGAAAGCTGATCGAAAGTTTCGAATGACGGTATATTAAGAACAAGCTCCGTACTATCATATGGAGCGTTGTCCGTTCCCCAGGAATACAGCACACGACTTTTTTTTCACCTGATGGTAAGTGGATTGCTGTGGCCCATAGACATCTACAGCAATCCTCGATTGAGAATCAAAATGCAAATGCGTTATCACCCGTGAGCACTAAGACGGAATGCCTCGTTTCCAGTAAAAAGGTTCTCCAGTTCTCTACACTCACCATACGAAACACAGCAGCGTTGAGCTGCTATTTTACGCCGATATTCTGTGAGAGGTTGTCTTTCCGCGATCGAGCCGACCCATTTGTGCTACAACCATAATATAGCTGCAGCATGTGCCACGTGCCACCACTCTACCACGTGCAAAACTTGACCTGTGTGCGATGAAGCTGTAAAAGCCAACTGCTAACAGCAATAACATCACAGAAAATAGTCACTCCCCAGACTGAATAACTTGCCCGATGGAGGATCTCCCTCCCTTTCTTCAAACAACTATTAAATCATGTCAAACCCAAAATTACATGGACTTGTGATGCGCAACAGCATTATTAATGTAAGGATCTTAGCTCAGCGCTCACCTGACTGCCCAGCAAGGATAGTATGAATAACTTTTTCAAGAATGTGTGCCTGATGGCATATTGTGTGATTTCTATGTCCAGTGTGGGTCGTAAAAATAGTAAGTGGTTGCTGTGGCCCATAGACATCTACATCTATCCTCGTTTGCGAATCAAAATGCAGATACGTTGTCATCCGTGAGGACAAGATAGAATGCCTCTTTACCAGTAAAAAGGGCTCCGGTACTCTACACTCACCATAGGAAACACAACACGCTGGTATTCTGTGAGAGCGTGGTCCTTCCTCGGTCGAGCCGACCCATTCGTGCTACAACTATACTACTAATGGGCCTTTGTTCAGCAGTGAACTTCTGTTAAAGTATATTGATAAAAAAAATCCCAAAACCATCTATCCATCCATACATTACAGTCTATAAAAGTCCACTGCTGAACATAGGCCTCCCCCATAGATTGCCTCATAGGGTCACCCCTATTTGCCATAGTTGACACGTTTGGCGAGCGGCTTGTCAACCGCAGTTTTTTATTATTTTAAGTTGATTATTGGAAGATGCTGCTGACCATCACCAGTATCAATTTCCCTCTGTCCCCTCTTACGACACCCACCGGACGATGTGGGGTAGCGGATATTCTTACACGGCCGCTAAGCCCATAGGTCCATAATTACCTGTCAATTATGAGGGCTCCACTTGCAACGAAAAGCGCCACACCCACCAGCGAGTAGAAAATGTCAATGCGCTTGTGAGACGGTGTCTGCATAACGTAGCCTGAAATGTAATGAATATAAAAATTAGTGATTATAAAAATAGGCACTCATCGTAAGTCGGAACCAACCTGGTTCGTAGTACTCTTAATAATAATTTTAATACTTAAAGGATAGGTCTTGGCTTAAGTCCGCCGTCCGTCCACACTTGTATTGAACTCAGATTTAAGCCTATCAAAGTCCACACTACTGAGCATAGCCCCCCCCCCCCCATTCATAGATTGCCACAATTTTTTATTTCTAGTTATTATTAGGAAAACGCTGCTCTACTGGTTTGTTTTTCTCTGTCGCTTATTATATGACTATAAGAGCCATCTAGCGGCGAATAGTTGAAGAACCCACTACTTGACAAATATAATTATATATAAGAGTTCATAGACATAGTTAATATACAGGCGTATATTAGTTACATTGACTGATATAACATTACTGCGTACTTTTTAAATCAATGAAAGCATTATTTTAGCAAACACAGAAATATAAGCAGTGTACTGCATTTAATTTAACGGTCAAATTCAATTCAAATTTCGGTTCAAAAAAATCAAACAATATTTTACAATTTTCAAGGCTTTAACTGTATTATTTTAGTGTTAACTATAATTATTTATACATAGTTTTAACTGGCAGAGATAAATATAATTTATTTTGTAGTTACGTAAATAAACGTAAAAATGGATATGTAAAATTCTTTAAAATAAAAACGAATTATTGAAATAGGACAATAACCTGGGTTTACCCAGACCTTAGACTCCCGAGTAGGTATAGTGATGGTTTAAGAATATCCACTTCCCTATGTCATCCCGTGGGTATCGTAAAAGGCGACAGAGATTAATTAAAACAGAAGATGGGCAGTAGCATCTTTCTGATGATAGTATTTCAATATATAATAAAAAAAATTGCGGTTGCCAATCCGCCTGCCAAGCGTGGCAACTATAGCAAAATCCTCCAGATGAAGCAATCTATGGCAGAGGCCTATGTTCAGCAGTGGACTTTTATAAAATGTAATTGATGGATGGACCTAGTAGTCAGCGTGCCGCGCATTCCATACGGCTAGCGAACACGGTACTTGCTAGCTAATAAACCTCGCCTTATCAATAACTTGCTATCGGAATTAGTGAATAAAGTCACGCACTCACGCGCTATATTCTAAAAATTACTTTTACAATTAATTATAACGTGAGTATTTTCTCTAAATGATTTCTTTTAATTCAATGTATTTTCTTCATTTACCTACTTCGTAGGAAGGAAAGATCGTATTTGTAACCATCTGCTTATTAATAGCTAATTGTATATCATAAGCCTACCCCCTACAGTTATATCTTTATGAAATATGTACATTTATTTACATAACTATGAAATATAAATAATATTTAAAAAAAAGACTAAAATAAAATAATTATAATATTTATAAATTGTCGATAGCTCAAGTACTACTCATATAAACCTGACTGCTATCACTATATTAATATGTACATAATGATACTTTGTTGAAACGGATAAATAAATGGAATAACATGTACGTTACGCGTAACCATGTTAATGAAGCGTAACTGATGAAAAGAGGTCGCAACAGTGCTGAATTCTTTGAGTGACGCAAAGAAAGACGCCAATGGAGCCTCCTACTACTACAGGCGCTCTGTGCTTAAAGGGAGCCTCCCTTTAACTATTTATGTTAAAATACCTTGTGAAGTACATAAAGAATTTATTAAAGAGTTATTATATTACAAGCCATACGCAAAAGTAAGTGAGCTCCTCGGAAACACTTATCGATCTCATGCGGTGTGCTTCCTCACAAAAAAAAGCTCAAGACAAACTATGACAATGTAAATTTCAAAAGAAATTTCATTGAAAGTATTAAATCAATCTCATAAGATCCAATCGTTCTTTGTTATTATCGCGTACTTTGGAGTTCTGAAATTTGATTTGAATTAAACTTGATTGAAAATTACACGATCGAGTGAGAAGTGCGGATTATTCCATTCTAACAAATTGAATTGATCGCAGTTAATTTTAATTTAGTCACCATTCGAATGTGCGCTAGCTTCGGTGTCGGGAGTCGAATTACCTTGTGTTCGAATCAAAATCTATTGATTGATGATTATAGGAATAATCCCAATGTATAAAAACTTTTCCATATAATATCAGTCATATTTTATAATATAAATTCCAATCTTTGGAGGTCAATCAAAATCAGCCGGACACGCCGTTTATTAATTTTGATTCAATAATTTGAAATTTATATAAATAGCAACAACTGTTTTTGAAAGGACTATTTTATATAAGTACTATGTTGTTTCGGTCTGGATGTTTGTCCATGTGTTGTGCAACTTATATGTGAAATGTCTCCTCGATACAAGGATTTGTTTATCATAAAATGACAGAGGTGTGGCACAGTCGTCAGACTTGGCTGCGATTTTCAGGGCATCTTGGCTGGGTGGTTCATATCATACCCTTTTCGTTGTCCGAAGAAGAAACAGTCCTTACCGTTTCCACCATTCGGAAAAAAGCGAAAGAATCTCCGCTAGCTATTTTTAACTCCCGACGAAAACGGGGTATTATTAATCCATGACGAAACCGGAGAGGTGTTATATTTTTGTAGTGTATATGTGTGTGTCAGTCTGTGGCATCATAGCACCTGAACAGATGAACCGATTTTGATTATGATTTCGTTTGAAAGATGTCTTTCATCGAGTGTTTCAGGACAATTTGTTGCTGTTTGAATATAATCATCTCTTTTTGTTTCAAGTTTTTTTTTTAATTTTAGATTTAAGTTGTTTAAAAAACTATTTCAATAACAAACTATAGGCCTACTTCGTATACCCATATAGTTGCATAATTACTCTAGTCTCGACTATAAAAGAATTTTGCTCATTTGTGCGTAAAGGTGATTTTTACAAACATAAATTGCATACGGAAGCTCAACCAGACCCGGAACAATTATTTGTAGGCCACCAAAATTGATTCCATGCTAAGTGAACCAGCGTACCACATCCCAAATGATTTTATAATAATTAATTTAAATTTCAAATTATTCCTCTAAAAGCTCCACTAACTTAATATAAAGATAATAGCTCGGTATTTTTCCACTTCGTTTCATCGTCGGTCATCAAGGTCGCGCGACCTGATGACCGAGAATATAGTAAAATATCAAATAAAATAAATAAGTAAATATAAATAAACAAAATCCGCCATTGCTCGCGAATTTTGTTGCCAATTGTAAATTTTTCTACATATAAAGTGGCCGTTACAGTCATTTTATGATTAAGATATTGAATCATAACTACCTCTTGGCAATTCAGTATAAAAAGATACAAAAAAAAATGATCACTACACGATCTCAGCCGAAGAGACGATTCAGGGAAAGGCCTAAAAGATCTTATAGTTTCCAATAAATGGAACCGTTAACGTTACAGTCTATCGAAAGTCGACTGCTGAACAGAGGTCTCTATAGTATATAGTAAAATATAGTATATAGTATCTATATAGTAAAATATTCTCGGTCATCAAGGTTTATTTTTCTACCGACTTCAAAGAGGAGACGTTACTCAATTCGACTGTATTTTTTTTTCTTTTTTATGTGTCATAACTTCCTCATAACTTCTTTCGGGGTGAACCGATTTCAATGATTCTTTTTTTTATTTGAAAGCTGATGCTTCACATGTGATCCCATATAAATTTGATCAAGGTATAACCAATAGTTTTTGAGTTATTCTTAATAATTTATATTGAAGACGGTTGTACCACATTTTTAATTTTAAATTATTTTAAGATTTATTTAGGCATTATTATTTAGAACGTATAACTATTTCAGTCTTTTATAAATAAAAAATTATTGATAAAAGATATGCATATTATGCATATTTAATTCATTGCTTAGATAATTTTCCATTATTGAATAACTTTCTGATAAACAACGTTTTTGTGTCATTTTAATAGAATAGGGTGACAAACGAGCACACAGTCCACCTGATGGTAAGTGGATGCTGTGGCCCATAGACATCTACATTTATCGTCAATTAAGAATCAAAATGAATATGCTATGCGGTGTCACCCCAGAGGACTTAGATGGAAGTCCTCGTGTCCAGTAAAAACGGTTTCCAATTCTCTACACTCACCATACGAAGCACAGTAGCATTAAGCTGCTATTTTGTGTAAGATACACCGGTCGAGCTGACCCATTTGTGCTACAACCACATAATACGTAGGTCACTCAATAAGTTTTGAGATGCTAGTAATTTAAAAATGGAACGCACCCGTGTTATGTTTCTAAAAAGCAAACTTATTCAAAAATATAACTTCATAAGCCAATTGCTCAATGTTAAAGAAAAACAAAGTTCTATTAATTTTCCTGCAACGCTTCCCGCGCTTTTCATTTAAAACGATTGATCTTAACCGTGAACATTTGCGCGCTATGATATACCTATTATGATTTTAGATTTAGTTTAACCGAACAATTAAGTTTACAACGGTTACAATCAGCATTAGGAGACTCAGCTCCATTGCGCGCAACAATTTTTGGGTGGTTTACTGAATTCAAAAGGGGTAAAATTAATCTTAAAGATGACCAAAGAACCGGGCCCCACAAACAGCAGTAACGGCAGAAAATGTATGGACTACTGAAATGTTGGTGCGTGGTGCGAGAAGACCCACGAACCACATATACGGATATCGAAAACATTTGTAGGCATTAGTTCGGAGAGCATTCATACCATCCTACAAATACATCATACATCGTAATTAAACAAAAGAGTAACTTTCAATAAGTATTATTTATAATCTATATTGAATAAAAAAGTTTCTGTTTCTGTTTCTACATCAACCTTGCAGTGAGGAAGCTTTGTTGTCGATGGATTCCTAGTTTGCTCTCCGAAAGCGAAAAATAGACTCGTGTTGATTGGTGCCATGAAATGCGTCTAAGTTTTGAAAACAAGGTATCTAGGCGTGTTTCAGAAATCGTTACTGGTGACGAGACATGGATCTATCAATATGATCCGGAAAATAAAA